TCATTTTGGTTGATTCTTTCAAAAACCAGCTCCTGAGATTCATTTGATTTTTTGGAGGGTTTTTGTGTCTCTTATATCTCCTTTCAGTTGCTCTGATCTTAGTTATTTCTTGCTTCTGCTAGCTTTCTGTGTTTTGCTCTTGCTTCTCTAGTTCTTTAATTGTTGATGTTAGAGTGTCACTTTGATCTTTCACTGCTTTCTCTTGTGGCATTTAGGTGCCTAGTAAATTTCCTCTACCACACTGGCTTTAATTGATGGTCCAGAGATTCTGGTATGTGTATCTTGTTCTTCATTGGTGTTCAAGGAACCATCTTTATTTCTGCCTTCACTTTCGTTGTGTACCAGTTGTCATCAGGAGCAGGTTATTCAGTTTCCATGTAGTTGGAGCAGTTTTGATTGATTTCATGTCCTGAGTTCAGTTGATTGACTCGTGGCGTGAGAGATCAGTTTGTTATATTCTTGTTCTTGTAATTGCGAGGAGTGCTTTCTTCAATTATTGGTGCATTTTGGTAAATAAGTGCGATGTGGTGCTGAGAAGATGTATATTCTGTTGATTTGGGTGGGAGAGTTGTAGATGGTCTATTAGGTCTGTTGGTGCAGAGATGAGTTCAATTTCTGGATATCCCTGTTAACTTGTTTTCACTGTCTCGTAGAGTCTGGTCTAATGTGACAGTGGGGTTTGGAAGTCTCCCATTATATTGTATGGGGTCTAAGTCTCTGTAGTCTCTAAGAACTTCTTATGATTCTGTGGTGCCTGTATTGGGGAGATATATATTTTAGGATAGGTTAGTCTTCCTGTTGAATGAATCCTTTACCATTAGTGTATGGTCCTTCTATGTTCTTTTGATCTTTGAGTTGTAAGTCTGTTTTATCAGACTAGTATTTGCACCCCCTTGTTTTTTTTTTTCATTGCTGTTGGTAGATCTTCCTCATCCCTTTATTTTGAGCCTTATGTGTGTCTCTGCATGTGAGATGGGTTTCCTGAATCAGCAGAGCTGATGGGTCTTGACTCTATCCAGTTTGCCATGTCTGGTTGTTTTAATTTGGAAGGCATTTAGTCCATACATTTTAATGGTTAATATGTTATGTGTTGAACTGGTCCCCATTATGATATTTAACTGGTATTTTGCTCTTTAGTTGATGGCGGTTCTTCCTAGCCTGTGGTTTTACATTCTTTGCATGTTTTGCAATGCTGGTACGTTTCCTTTCCATTGTTTAGTGTTCCTTCAGGC